CGAAAATTCTAAGAATTATGTTGAAAATACCTTTTTTCAATAGATTTTCAATGGATTTTTTGTTGAAAATTCCGTCGATAAAAGCCTCGTCGGTAATACTTTCCGTTGGAAATCCTTTAGAAATTTTACAACAAAAAATTCCATCAAAAAATTTTTTTGGAAAAATTGCATGATCTATTGGTTACCCATAGTAATTTCGCTAAAAATTTCCAACGAATTTTCCGTTGAAAATAATCTGTAACGAAATTTCGTTTTAAATTTTCAACGAAATTTTTCATTGGAAAAGAATTTGAAATGGAATTCCGTTGAAATTTTCCAACAGAATTTTTCATTGGAACAGAATGGTTCTTAGTACAAAAGTGTAAACGTAAAACGTTGTGTGAATACAATATAAAACACTACAAAAAACATGTTTTTTTGGCCGAAATTTTTCTCAGAACTTTAAGAATTTCTTAGAAAATACCTTTTCCAATGGATTTCCAAGGATTTTTCATGAAAATTCCGTAAGAAAAACCTCGTCGGTAATACTTTCCTTTGGAAATCCTTTGAAAATTTTGCAACAGATTCCATCGAAAATTCTTTTGGAAAAATTGCATGATCTGTTGGCTACCCCATAGTAATTTCGTTGGAAATTTCCAACGAAATTTCCGTTGGAAAAGAATTTGAAATGGAATTCCGTTGGAATTTCCAACGGAATTTTTCATTGGAACAGAATTTCCAACGCTATACAATATAGAATATGCTTTTTTATTTTTTGCTTAATTTGTATTTTTATTATTTATGTCAAAATATCCAAGATATATATTTTTCCTTAGATCCAAACGTCTAGGTTGATAATGCAAGCAATTACCATAACAAGTATCAATGGCCTCTCTGCACGTACCATACGACAATGTTCTTCATATGAGTTAAATTTAAATTTTATATTTTATTAAGAATGTTAACTTTAATGAAAAAAAGTCAAATTAACATGAAAATTAATAACAAAAATTACTAATATTTAATTTAATAAAAATTCATTAAACACTTAATAACCCTAAAAAAATTAAAAATTAAATCAACATTTTAATTTAATAAAAAAGCATTAATTAAGAATAGAGTATCTTGCTATCCACCACATGGTTCCAACACTTTCCAAATAATCACACCAACCAGAACATCAGTTCTCTCCACTCCTAACTTGGTCAAGTGAGTCAATCTCATTAAAAACACTCCAATAGTTCCAATTCCTCTGTTGTTCCTTACCCACCATGCCAGGGCACACTAGCGAGCAAATCGGCGGGCCACACAGCCGAGCAAAACGGCGGGCACAACACCGAGTACATGCAATGGGAGGTAGCAAAGTGAGATGTAGGAAAGTGAACCACCAGTTAGGGTTAGAATAGTGCAGGGGGTTTTATTTTTTTTAGGTCATTAAACTTTGTAACTGATTTTCAACAAATAAGTTTCCGTTGGAATTTCGTCGAAAATTTGATGGGATAATTTTTTTTTCTTAAGAAATCTCCAACGGAAATCATCCGTCGGTATATTTTCGTTGGAAATCCATCGAAAATCTATCGAAAATAATCACAACAATTTTTGTTGAAATTTCGTTATAAATCTGTTGAAAATTCGTAGGAAAAACTTGAATTTCTTATAGTGAAAATTCCAAATTGCATCCAAAAGCAATTGCAACATTAGGTGTAAAAAACGTTTAACTTACAAGTGAGTCAAACAATAATAACAAATATGATTAAGAGGTCATCAAAGTATTCATCAGCCACTGTCAATTTTCTCTTGTTATAAATGAACACTACACTATAACTTTTTAATGCAATAAGAAAGGTTAGAGATGAAATCCAAGGAATATCAATTTCAAGAAGAAAGAAATAACATTAGAATCATATTTTACAAAAATCTGTTAATCGAGTCATCTATATGTTTATATTTTGATGTATAAGAAAATTATTAATTTATATATCAAGTAGGACTTATATGGTTTTTTAAAATGTATTATTTTATAAATTTAACAAATTATTAATTTACTTTGTTAGCATTAAGTCAGAACCATCAAAAAATATTATTTAATTAAAGTTATTAATTTATTGAGTATTAATTGATCGAAATTTTCTTGCAATTACTTTTTTGTTTACTTACAAATAATTTATTTGATTGTATTTGAGTATTTGGTTCAATAGTAAATATATATCTCCTCTTTAGAGAGTTAGATTCAAAATTTTCTTTCTAAATAAAACAAAAAAAAAAGAGACATTGGACCAAGAACAAATGGGAGGGAAGTGCGAGGGCGGGATGGGATTCATTAGTCACATGAGGGTTCAGTCGGTCACTGTGGTTGCAGCACAATGACAAGTGTCTCCACCCCATCTCACCATTATGCTAACAAGGTCTAGTGTGATTGGAGATTTGGGAGTCCCCATAGCATCAAAGAGGATCTAAATCTACATGCAATTGTACACAACAGAAGAGTCAAATCTTAAAAGATTAGGTGTTATAATGGGACATCTTAAAATATTAAGAGTTGATATTCTGACTTGAAAGTCTTGAGTTGGAATGTCACCTCAAACTTAATTCTTAAAAATCCAACAAAATTTATAAACCTATTTAATATTAAGTTGCAACAAATAAAATGTAATGTGTTAGAGACGAAGGAGAGGAAGATCTTGGAGTAGTTCTTAAAGGAATTGAGTATTGTGATTAGATAAGTGATAAAATAAGATTGAGAATAAAGTGAAAAAGGGTTAAGCAGAAGAGAATATTGTGGTCATGGCATAGCAGAAGTCCTTCTTGAAGTGCTAGCAATTTGACATTCAAAAAATTATGGTTCCAAAATTTTCAAAAAAAGCAAAGATTAGCAATACTTGTTTGATTACATGCGGCATTTTGAAATTGGTTTTTCGAGCTCCCATCCACAATTAGTTTAATTTCATCTAAATTAGATTTCAACCATCTAATGATTTGTGGTCGCATGGATAATTGATTCGGAAAGGTGATGGATAGTTAGTATTACCTTTCCATTGCTTTTTGCGCATTAAATTCCATTCATGAAGCTGCTTGAGTAACTTCATAATTTTCCATATTACTAGTTGAGGATACACTTTTAATTGTTTGTGTTTAAAATCATTACGTTCAATCTAAAAGAACCAACAAATGAAAATGGATAACAAAACTCGAACATGTCCTTGTTTTGTAAAATCTATTGGATAATACCATGCCCATACCACCTGCATAATATTTTGAGGCTGAATAATAAAAACTTGGGAAAACTGAGTAAAGAATTCCCAAACTTGTCATGCTGCTGAACCTTGCCAAAGGTCATGAACCAATATCTCCTCAAAAAGTAGTATTGGCACTTAGACTTCAACTGAAATCCTTTGGCTTTCAAATGTATCTTAACAGGTATTCATCTATTAAGAACTCTCCAAAAAAAGAAGGAAATTGTAAATGGGATAATTTTGTGCGATACTAAATCAAAAGCATTACTTATTGGTTGGTTTTTATGGATTAAATCCCATGCACTCTTAATAATAAATTCATTATTGGAAGAATGAACTCAATAAGCAATTTCCTCCCCATCATTTTCTATAAGAATTTAAACTATTTTCTCAACCAAATATTTAGGCACGAAATGTGTTAATTTATCCACAATTTGAGACCAAGTGCTTCAAAAACATTTATTGGTCTTTGAATTTCCAAAACATCTATAGCTTAGTCGTTACACTAGTTTAATTTAAAAAAAGTTCAATCTCTTATTCTTTTGATCAAATAGCCTTTCCAACTTTTCTTTTATTCACAAAGCTTTGACTAGTGGCTGTTGAGATTATTGTAGTAGAAGTAGTAGCTGCCGTAATTATTGCAAGAGGATTGGTCATGTTAGGATTTTTAGTGATTACCATATCTAGGGGTGAGTAAAATCAAACTAAGTTTTTATATATATTAATATATATAATATTTTTCATATATATTAAGAAGAATTGATGGTAAATTTAATTAATAATATACTTAAAATATATTAGTTTATTATATGTATGCATACAAATCATAATCATAGCAATTTAATTTTAGTTATATATTAATTTATACATTTGTGTTAATATAAAATTACAAGTTATATATTTTAAATGATATAACTTATATGTTAATATATATTATAATATATGATAGTAAATATTTTACATATTAATATGTTGTAATTATTACACCTTGGTAATGGTTTGTAACATAAAATATTATGAATATATATAGTTACAAAAATATTATATATATATATATATTTAATTTATATATAATTATTGTTACAACTTATAATAAACTTTATTTATATGATTAGACTTAACAACCTTATTAATTATCACTTTAATTTTTATAATATATAGTTTATAATTAGTTATTATTTACAGTAATTTTGATATAAAACATTATAACATATAAATTGTGTCATTAATTTCATATATATATATATATTAAAGTAATATATTATACATATATATATAATTTATACATAAGTATTATTGTAACTTATAGTAAACTTTATTTATATGATTACACTTAATAATTTTATTAGTTATAACCTTAATTTTTATAACATATTATTTATAATTAATTATTATTTATACAAACTTTGATATAAAAATTAAAATGTTATAACATATAAATTGTATCACTAATTTCATATATATAATAAAGTAATATATTATATATTTATATATAATTTATAAAAAAATATAAAATTTTAATTCATTGATCAAAAATCAAAACGATCAAATCAATTCTACATTTGATCAATTTAATTTTTTTTTATGTTTGATCAATATTTTAAAAATATATAATTCATTTAATTTTTAGATATGACATACCAAACTATTCATACTACTTATTTGCTCAGCTCTTATCATATCAATATTTATTCCGTTTCCATTTGTGTTTACAATAAAGAGAGTTGGTCCGTTAGGTGCATTTTCGTTAGTACAAAGACGCGCAAGTCGAGATTGAAGAATCGTGATTGCTTTGTTATGTTATGGTACTTTTTCTAAAGCAAATGTGGCAACAAGTGGAGCAAACCCCATGCCAAAAGAAATCTAGGTGGGTCCTTTAGGGACACCTTTCAGCATTTTGATGTTTTTTAGAGACCGCAAGAGTCAATTTCCATGCGCCATGAAGCGGCAGGAGGGACCATGCATGTTTAAAAAGACAGCAAGAACCTTTGGAATCATGAAAAACCACCATCACCAGACCGCCCGACCATGTCTGGTCCTTGTGCTCCAATACACATCGTATATTGTTAGCATTACACTCCTTTTGGTTTTTTTCTTCTTTATTTTGTGGTGGAGGTGAATTTCAATTGTGCTTGGGCGTGGCCCAGTAGAATTTCGCACCCTCCAGAAATCGAGCTACTGTCACAAATCACCGCTGGCTTATTCGAGGAGGCATATTGATTCTCGAAAGTCACTAAATTCGTATCCTTCCTAGGCGCCGCGTCCAGTTACCTCACCATAGCTGTCCATAGGTTTCGCTTCTGTTCAAGCGTTTTTATTTTTTGATTGTGACCCCCAATGCCTGTCCATTCCCTTGTTATAGACAGAATTTGATTAAAATTTTCAAAACCAGACAAGACAGGGTAGTGTATCACCTGTCCTCATTTCTCCGTACATCGCATCACCGTCACCGTATTGCTATTACTTACTACTAATAAAATCCTGAAGGGCAAAGCCCAAACACAGGACAAGGAACACGACGCTGCGGAGTTCAAAACAAAGCTCTCTTTCCTCCTCTCTTTGTCTGTTACTGTGTGTGTATGAGAACTCTGATACAAAGTGATAGAGAGAAAAGAGAGTTATTCTGGCTTCACTTTCCTAGCTATCTTCCCCTCTTTTGCTTTCTAACTCCTTTTCTTGGGCTAAGAAAAGAAAAAGGAAACGGAAGGAAAGGAAATCATTCTTGTACCAAGCAATGTTTAAGTGCTACCCTCTCAACTTTCTCTTTGTAAATATCGCTTTGGCTAGCCTTGACGCTCTTCTCGCATTTATTGCCTTCTTTCAGGTCTGTTTTGTGCACCCTTTTGCTTCTAATGTTTATGTTTCCTTTTGCTAATGCATTTGGATTCTGTGATGGCATAATTAGTTTATATATGGGCTTTATTTTTCTTTCGAAACATGTAATTCTTTCCAAGGGAATTTAGTGATGTTTGCTTGGTTGGGGAATCTGGGTCCTGCTTTTTTACTGAGAAAATGCCAGGAAAACATATAAAAGTGTAGAGTCGTGCATGCATTACTTGAAACTTTCACTTTAAAAAATTTCTGAATTTGTTTTGAGTAGATTTCAGCATCTGGACAGATTGAATAGCTAATCATGGTCCAGTATTTTTATGGGAGAAGAAGGAGAGAAGAGAAAACTGCTAGACTTGGGCCTCCTTCCTAATATATTATGTTAAACCTTTTCATTTGCCTTTTTTTTTTTAAATTTGTATTGGTGAGGATTTTGGCTCTTCTTTCTGTTAAAATACCTGAAATCTCCGCCTATGTTGGGTTCCAAGCATGGTTTCAAATGGAAAGGCAGTGAAAAGTGAGCCAATATAAAAATTATTACCTGAAAGGCTTATGCCCCAAGGGTTCATGTTGACACACTGGGGCATAAGCCTTTCAGGTACTACCTTTATAGATTTTATAAGAATCATAACTAAAATAATAAAACTTACAATTTTGATAAATCATTATCATGAACTTGAGTTAATTATGTCACATACCTTAAAAAGTATCACAAAACTAGAAGTATCTCAATAAATAATTAAGGAGACGAGTCCATATTTATAGTTAGATTTTCTTGATTATACATATCAGAAATGTTTTTCCTGACATATCTTAGCCTTCTTTTCTGACCAGCTTTCTAGGATTCACCTGCGGAATCAACAAGTTGGGTGGACGCGGCAAAAAGTGAGTGAAATCTTCTAAATTTTTCTTAGTCTTTTCCGGTTTGTTCAGTTTGTGCCTGTGCAAGTGGTTCTCCATTTCTGCACCTTGGCCAAAATTTAGGTTTCCAATTTCTATAGTACATAAGAGGAATCTTACATGTATTTGGGTGCAAGAATGCAGATTTGATAAGTGTATGTGACATCATAGTATTTCATGACACTTCTTGAATGCAATGATCAGCATAAACAAGGTGCTGTTTTTTTGGGAAATGTAGTTCTTGATAAGTTGTTGGAACACATAAAACTCATGATTAAAGTACAAACATGCAATTGATATTAATCAAAACACCCTGTCTTGTCAAATGCTAATGAGATGAAAAGTGGAATTTGGTTGATGTAGAATGAAATTCTGAAATAAAGTTGCCATCGATAAGAAATAGGAAACAAGGAAATCTTGTGCATAATGAAAACAAAAATCTGACCCCTTTTGGTAATAATATGCTTTACATGTGAACATGGCTTCCTTGATTTTGCCTTTATGTCGAAAAAGGGGAACCAAGTAAAGATAAAGCTTGCCACTCCAAAAAGAAAAAAGGTTCCCAGATGCGAATTCTCTTCAGTTAAGTCAACTGACAGAAAGAGAAAATATTACCATTTCGTATGAGCCAGAGCATTTTTTACCTCTTGTAATATTGGTTTCATTGACCAGTTCCCTTTATCCCTATATCTTACTAGAAATTAGAAATGTTTTTTGCCTTACGTGTCTAGACATCTAAATGAGCTTAATTGTCTTCAATGTTCTCACTGTTCTTATTCATCTCGTCATAGTCAATTCCATCAACTTGTTTCCTTTTCTGGCCTCCTTTATCGTAATAGAAATCTGGAACTTCCATTAATTTAATGATTATGCACTTTTTATGTTTTTAATGTATTGTATAGCTCTTTTGCACATCTTTTAATTTGTGATGGTTGTGTAAAAGCAAAGATACTCTGACTACTATGTTTATAATTCTTTTCCTGTATTTGACAATTTATAGTACCTTTTTTTTTTGAAAAGAAATTCAGTACTATGTTTTTTGAAGGAAAGAATATTGATGGAGCAAATGCTGATTGCAGGTTCTTCATCTCATGATAGGTTCTTCTAATTCTGGTAAGAGTAAGACTTAGATGTTGAGATTCTGTGCTCTATATAATGAGGCTTTTCTGTTATCTTATTAATTAAATTTAAAGTAGCATGGCACTAATTGGAATGGATATCTAGTATTGTAGATATGATATTTCATTCATAGCTCTGAAGCCACAATATCAAGTATTACTTTTTCTTGAAGTAGAAGCGACTTATCAATTAATATATGCAGGAGTTCTTTTAAGATTAAGAATATGAATTTACAGGATGGTTGTAATGAATAACTATAATCCTTAATATGTGCTAGCATTTGCTGTAATGCCAATTATTGGGTTGCTTGGATAGATTTGATTTGGTGGTCTCCAACCACGTTTCCGTAGAGCTAATCTTGCATCGCGAACCTAACAATTTCTCCAGCTCTAATCTCCAAAATCCACTTTATGCCTCCTTATTCATTTTGCAAAATAGGAATCTTTTATCCTTGGCCTTCCTAACTGTTTCTCATGCTCCCCTTTATTCTCTTTGCTATTTTTTTTCTCTTTCACAAAGTAGCATTCTTTCATCAGCTTCAGCCCTTATTAGAGCCAACTTAAGTCTTTTGTAATGTTTCTCTCAGTCCAACCATGTCCGTCATTTAACTAGCGAGACACAATGTGCAGGTTTTCCAAAGTTGGAAGCTCATTCTTAGTATGACAGATGCATTAAATCACTCAATCAAGGACAGTTTCTGCTTGTTTCCTCGTGCTCTCTCTAATACCTCTCTCTAGAAACTAGAAACTTGTAATTAGTAATTCTCCCATTCGCTTATGTGCCATTATTATCTGCATTATCAAGCATTTTCTGACTTATCTACGCTATCCCTTGTCCGTACTAAATAAAACTCTTCTAACACTTTCTGACCTAAATGTTCAGTATTGAGTGTACCTGCTTTTCCTGTTCTTCCGCAACGTAAATGTCAGATCCTCCTATTTAATTCATTCTCATTACTTTCATTCATTAATTACTTGAACCTGAAGTTTAGAGCCATTCACATTTTCTTAGCTACTGCTGACAAAAGAGCAGCATTGTGAATGTAAAATCATATCTCTCTCTCTCCCCTTTATTTTCCTGAATTAATAACAAGTTTTCTGCTTCATGCTCTTCAATCCTGTGAAGAGGACTTTATCCTATGCTTTATGTGGAAACCCTTCTTGAGGAATTTGTCACCTTCAAAGTGATCTAAAGAAATCCTAAACCAATTCTTTGGTTCTGAAAGAGTGGTTTTAAAACGTTCAAGTGGGTCTGAATATCGCATCAGACGGATACTTATATTCGGATTTGTTTTGTCTTATGACAGGTTGTGTCATTTATATTTTGTGCATGGTGGTTGCCACATGCCAAAGGTGGCTTTGCTGGTTTCATGTGTGTGGGTTTGTTCTCATGGGTATGCTTCTCTTGAGTGACAATAACTTATATTTACCTTTAGTAATTGTTTTGTAGAGCCTCTTAATGAGGTCTGCCTGTGGTCTAATGGTGAAAACTTTGATGCAGCCTTCCCCAAGATTCTGTTTTTGGCTGCATTTCTTTTACTCCTATCTTTCTGGTAAGTCTGACCTTATCTCAACAACTTTCTTCATTTAATTATTGATCATGTGAAATAATTGCCTTTCAACATTGAATTCCAAATTCTATATGCTTAAAAGATTTTTAGTATTTGATGATTTATGGTTGATTAGAGCTTCTTGTACTGTCAGGATCTTTTAAAAATTTAGATAAGGTTCTTTCAACTTGAATATTATACAGTTACTATCCTCCATTTATTATAAATCATTAATGAAGTCAATGTTCAATACTCTCTCAATCTCAAATTGAAAGATATAGTTTCCATTTTGGTAGTTGCAAAATTTTGTCCCTCTATGTTGAGGTGATGCTACCCTATTATATTATAAGGGACAATGTTGTCTGGTAGTAGTTTATGTGGCACCTTCCTGCCTCAAAAGTATAATTGTGTATAAATAACCCCATCCATGGGATAAGGAGAAAATGGTTTACGTAAAGCTCTTGAGTGATCACAACATATTTATTTGTTGTGCTTCTGCAAATTCCTTCTCCCTGTATTACATTGCTCTCCCACCATGCTAGATCATTTGACCTACTTTTTCTTGAATGCCACATAAGCTGATCTAATACACATCAGTAGACTACAACGGCATTAAGTAGTTTTTCCAATAGTTAGTGGTGGTTTTAAAAATAAAATAAAATAAAAATTGACAAAGGTAACTTCATATGTTCTGCAGAATGTTAGTGTTCAACGTAGAACAAGTCAGGGCATTAGATGTCAAATGCAAATCAATAATATATTTTCAATATGCACTCTTGTTGAGTTTACGTGATAAATTGGGAAATATCATGGTATTATCACTCATGTGTTACGAATCTTTGTAATCTTCAAAAGAATTTATGGAGGATATGCTAGAAAGATTTTTGCGTAGGAGACATTTTTCCTAGAAGTAGTGTATTGCAATTTATAAGGTACATATATGCTTTTATGGGCAATGATTTTATAGGGTCGACCTTTGCCATCAGGCAAATGATGAAGAGGAAGATGATGAAGAGAATAGTAGTCAGCAGGCATTGCTGGAAAGTTCAAAGGGCAAGGCTGGTTTGCCAAACAAGGATATTCGTCGGAAATGTTGCTCATTCCAAGGCATTCATATTGGTACCAGACAAAAATTTGTTATTGTGGTATGAGAAAGAGCAATGTCAGTTTTCATCAATAATTGTATGTATAGTTTCTATTTAAGATTCAATTTTATCAACGATGGAGTTATTTTATTTTTCTTTTTGTTCTTCTTCCCCCAGGTCATTATGCTCTACCTGATCTTGATGATCTCCTTTGCTGCAATAATGTGGATTGGCGCAGGGAAGAATCCTAGTGATTCTGTTGTAGTTGCTCGGGTATGAAACACATTACTTACTAACTACATATGGTGATTATAACATTAAAATATTCCTTGATATTTTTCCATATCAAGTCCTTTACATTTGATATTTATTGGATGTTGCAAATATGCTGTGCAACTTATTGTCATGGTGTCTGATCAAACAATAAGGTTTTAACTTCTAATGAAGTGGAAGAAACCTCAGTTTATTATTACATTGCTGAAGAGGGTTTACAAAGTGCAACATTATGACAAAAAGGGTCCGTGGTATATTTGAGTATTCTGCACTTATCGCTGCAATAATTTGTTTGATAGGCGATGTGATATCTTATGGTATATTTTGTTAAAATTGATTGACTTTCTTTTTGCAAATGTCTATTGTATTTTTGGTTGTTATTCTCCAAAAATATTTTTCAATTCAATATGGTAAATATGATTGTAAATTTTCATGACAAATAACCCAAGGCTTGGCGGTGGATCACCTTGTCACTACTCTTTCCAGCTGTGGTTTAGCCAACTGCGATCAGTTGTGGTTAAGCTTGTTTAATGATATATATTGTTAAGTTCCACGTTATGACTTATACCTTAGCTT